GGTACTTTCTATTTTAACACATACATCTAGAAGGCTGGCAAGAAGTAAGTTGCAGGTGTCGTAATGAGTGGATAGGGTTGGTTTTAAGATAAAAAGATCAAAGAAATATAAATTGCCTCTCTCTACACACACACACACACACACACACACACACTCTTCTGCCTCTCAACTTATCAGGTTTTGGAGAGTAGGAAACTTATATTGATGACTGTGACACCTGTCCTGTCATTATTTTATCCATGTTGAGTGTCGCATATTTTTGACCTTGTGCTAGACTAAGTTCAGCTCAAAAAATATATAACTTGTTTTATTTCTGTTTGCTCTTAGGTATTTATCTAGCTCTCTCACTAATATATATATATATATATATATATATATCTTAAAAGGATAAAATGCTGAATGGAACACTACTACGCTTTCAACCAACAAGGTCTCATCAGGTGGTTAACTCACTGTACAGGTTTTTTTTTTTTTTTCTTTCTTGAAATTGAACGCTTTTTTTAATGCCTACGATTTTAATCTCTATTTTAGGTGTGTGTGTATATATATATATATATATATATATATATATATATATATATATATATATAAAGTAAAATAGAGTAGTGGATAACAGCTCAGATTGAGGAATTGGAGAGCTGAGTTTGAATTCAGTCAATCACTTATGTGCTAATACTCTTGGGAATGGTATGTATCCTATTCTCCCTCCAGCTATGGGGAAGTAGCAGGACAGACTGGGTTCTATACCCTTGGATGGCAACTGATCTAGGAGAAGGACAACTCTGAATTCAAAACCTGTTGACTGTTGTTTGGGGGACCTTGTGGCACGTAGTGCACCAGGTCTCTGTATTCAGCCCTACAAGATGTGTGGTTGGTTCTGCACAAATCCTTCACCACTATAATCAAATCTCATGTGCTGGTGTCTCATACGTTGGAAATAGTAGGGGACTCTACCATATATAAAATTGAAACCTTGACCATATTAACCACTGGTCAGTGTTTTAGCAAGGGTCAGAATGTCTAATATTTCTTTCCAAGGCAAGTAGGCTTTCTGTTGTTATATTATCACAATCTTCATTTTCTTCTGAGAAATTGAGTAAATAACTCTGCATGTGTACATTTTATATATATATATATATATATATACACACACACACAAAAACAAACAACAGCCAGAGTTGTAACTTGAATTTCATGTTCTATTGAACTTCAGACAACTAGAACAGGGTTTTTGCTTGGTCTAAGTAATCCAGGTGTTGAGTGAATAAAAAGTTTTGGTTGAAGTAATCCAGTGACTTGACCCAAAGTGTTGTAGGTTCAATCCCTGGCTACAGCAGAGGTAAACAAAAACTTGGAGAGTTGAGTTACTAAAGGGAAATAACCAAAACTGAGATATCCAGAAAAGGCATGGTACGTGGAAATATAGCAATCTACCCCCATGGAGTAAAGAAAAGGTTTGGTTTGAAATTCCGATGTATGTCACCCAAATAAGGCCAAAGCATCATGAATGTGACAATGAAGATGAGGATAATGGTCATAACAATGTAAATAGTGTAAGTACCAATATTTAAGTAGACACACAAAGGTAAAATAGAATTTGAAAACGTTTGAAAATACGTCAAATATATTCTTTATTAGACACGTTGTTGGATACAGTGTTCTTAGCTCATATTTCTTTTTACTAACATTGGCTCGGATTTTTTTTTATGGTGAGAATTTTCATGAATCTTAATATTTTCACTTTCTGTTTTTCCTTATTGTGTTCCTTTACATTACCTATCTTTTTAAAACTCGATAGATGTCTTTTTTTTTATCAGCTAATTCATTTTATATACCATTTTATTGTTAGAAAATCCATTAACACTTTTAAGAGCTTTTCACTTTAAACTCTAAAGAATATCCATTTTTATAATTTTTGTTTTTTTTTTGCTTAAAAGCAAATCTCAATAGCGTCAATTTCAAGTCTATTGACCTTTTATTTGAGTGCACTATATTATCTTTTCTCTTTTGACAGCATTTAAATAGATTTGATTTTAAAAATAGCGGCAGAATGGTTTTGTAAGCGTTTTGAAATGTGAGTTGCTTTTGAATCTTTTATATAAAAAATAAGGTAGTTTGAGCCATTCTGTGTGACCAACAATTTCAGTACAGTCTTCTATGTGCCACATTCCTTCAGAACATAGGCGATCATAGCTCTCCGCAACTTCCTATCCCTTGTAACACTTAGTGATCCTTCTCTCTCTCTCTCTCTTACCCTCAATATACCTTGTGAAGGCTAAGTTTTCCAAGCCCTCTTTCCTCATTATGAGTTCAAGGAATTTCAGCTATTTTCAGGATATAGGCGATCATAGCTCTCCACAACTTTCATCTTTCAGTTGTCTTTTCCTGTTTCTGGGTGGAAGTGTTCTTTCTGTTGCCAGTTTTTTTAAGACTTCAGTCTATATTATTTGTTATAAATCATGACACAATAGCCGCATCTGTAATTTGAAAATTTGTTTGCAGAAGTGTGTGGAAACTGATCCTCAGCTATTTGGCACTGATTGTATTTGCTGTAGTTCATAATGTAAATTATTTTTGTCTTTTTTTTATTTATTAATTATTTTTTTTTTTTTTTTTTATTTTATTTTTTTTTTTTTTTATTTTATTTTTATTTTTTTTAGTATTTGAGTCAAGTCAAATGACACTGTTAAAGTCATTGATACAACTTTGAGTGATTACTTATTTGTTGTTCTTTTCCTTATATTTTGTTTGTTTTTCTATTGATTTATCTGCATTGCTCTCTGGATTGTTATCAGAAAGATTCAAGTGTTTAAGTAGACCTCTTTCTTTCTAACAATAACTTTGAAATTGAAAGTCTAAAATCTTTTGAATACTCCAACACTCGTGTAAAAGAGAGAAATACTCTTGTTGGCATCAGGGGTGGATGTCTTTTGAAAATGTTGCGTTAGCATCATCGTGTTAGTGCCTTTTGAAAATGTTGTGTTAGCATCATCGGGTTAGTGCCTTTTGAAAATGTTGTGTTAGCATCATCGGGTTAGTGCCTTTTGAAAATGTTGCGTTAGCATCATCGGGTTAGTGCCTTTTGAAAATGTTGCGTTAGCATCATTGGGGTTAGTGCCTTTTGAAAATGTTGCGTTTTGAAAATGCATCATCATCAGTTAGTGCCTTTTGAAAATGTTGCGTTAGCATCATCGGGTTAGTGCCTTTTGAAAATGTTGCGTTAGCATCATCGGGTTAGTGCCTTTTGAAAATGTTGCATTATCATCGGGGGTTAGTGCCTTTTGAAAATGTTGCATTATCATCGGGGGTTAGTGCTTTTTGAAAATGTTGCATTATCATCGGGGGTTAGTGCCTTTTGAAAATGTTGCATTATCATTGGGGGTTAGTGCCTTTTGAAAATGTTGCATTATCATCGGGGTTAGTGCCTTTTGAACCTATTTGTTTCTTTACATTAATGTAGATGCTTGTAACTTTAGTCAGACATTACAAATGAAAACAGACTAAATTCTTTCTCATGTGTACACATCCCAAGATAGCTTAGTTGTTTGTTTGTGCGTGTGCAGCCACTGACACCAGGTGAATCATGGATCTCCATTCTTGGAATAAAAGAAAAGTGAGTGCAAAGTTTTTATCTGGCATGATGTGAGGTGAGCCCAGTAGATACTACATTGTCATAATGTAATAGTTTTTCTATTTAGTCTTGCAAGCCATTGGTAGTGAATTTGATACTCACTGAATGCTTTGTTCTCAGTTTAGTGGGGAATTCACATATTTAGAATAGCCTCTTTGCTTTCTTTAATAAAAATAAAATAAGTGGTTGAAAATGTAATCATATCGAAACTGATTTTGAATTGTTTTACAAGAGGCAGTTTTTGTTTTAATAATTTATAAAATTAATAAAATAGTCGGAAAACATTGATAAATGTGTTTGCAATATGGTCAAAAGGACGTTTTTCTCTTGACACCACTATTATTTTAACTACCTTCACTCCTCAACAATGTTTGTTTTAAAAAGCTATGATTAGAGAATTGTAATGAAACTTAAACATATGAAAGTGAATTTATACAATTTTTTCTTTTCTTGAATTTATAACCAAAATAATAAACACTATTTATTAGATTATTTATTGGAATGGTTAGCAATACATTGGCTAATCGCCAATTGATTCAAACTTTATATAAGGGTAAATAATAAAAATTTACTTATAGTCAATTCACATATTTTAATAGCTCAGTAAATACTTATAAATTTAGGAATAAAAAATTGTTTTTACACTTATTAGATTTTTTTATTTACACTTTTATTTATTGGAATGGTTGGCAAAACCTTGGTTAATTGCTAATTGATTCACTTATATATATATATATATATATATCATGATCATTCTGTCAAATTCTGATCCATATTTGATCTGTATATATTAGTCTGTTTATCATAATATTTTTGGCAAATTCTGGTGTTTTTAGTATTTTTGTTTTTAGGAATTAATTTTTAGTGCATTTGAGTGTTGCAGATGATGTCACCTTTTAAATGATTTCGAATGAATTCCAGCGAACTAAAAATGCTGGAATTTGCCAAACACATTTTGATAAAAAGACTAATAACTCAAAGATAACGGCATATGTACCTTGTTACACTTTTCTAGTAATCTGTTCGACTCATGTTTAGACCTGTATTTAACTACTGGCCAATCTTGTGATTCAATTTAAAATCAACCACTGCCAATACCTAACTATCTTTTCCATCAAGACAAGACTCCTACTCATTAACAAGTTGACCAAGCCATTTAATAAGCAAATAGTTCTTGAATGTACAATTGGTAGATACTAAGTGTAAAATACATTTCAGATAGAAGACAAAAGGGGCATTTAATGCGTAAGAGCTGAACCTTCTTTCTTGTATGTTATTGAGAATCTTTCTCTTGTAAATAGCTTCTTCTTCTATGTGCCATGGCTCTTCAGGACATGGTGATCATAGCTTTCCGCAATTTCTTTTGTCTTATGGCCACATCACATTGAAAACACCGGTTCCTGTATGCTCACTAAAGTTAAGCAATGTTGAACCTGGTCGGTACCTAGATGGGCTGACTGCTTTGGAATACCAGGTGCTGTAAGCTTGGATGTGCAGGTTGTGTAATAGATAATGGCTTGGAATTGTTAATTCCAATTCCAGCTCTGTTCTGTATATTCACAATGCATGAAATACCCTTGGGGAAAAGTATGATTCTACCTCTCTCTCTGTCTCTCTCCCCGCCTCCAGCTCTGAGTCATTTAGTAAGGCTTGTATCACTAAGTCATTATTACCTCCAAAAACAAAATTCTTCCAATATTTTTGGCTTTAAATAACCTGCAAAGGGTTGATAAGCTGTAAAAAATGAGTCAATAAAAAAAACCCCAAAAAACTTGTCCTTTGTAGCTCTTAATGAAATTTGTCTTTTTGCTATCTCTTCTAATTCATGTTCTTCCAACCATTCACAGAAACTCATTCATCTTTATGTGCCATGTCCCTTCATGACATAGGTGGTTATGGCTCTCCACAGTTTCCTCTCCTTTGTAGCCCTAAGTAATGTTTGTCTTTTTGCTATCTCTTCTAATCCCTGTTCTGTCAACCATTTATATAATCTTGTTAGGTATGTTATGCACTGTTTACCTCTGTTTCACTTGCCTCCAGTATATCCTGTGAGTGTTAAATTTTCTAAGCCCTCTTTTCTTATTATGTTCTCTCAAAATATGTTTTATATGATGTTTTTTGTTCCTTGCTTTTTTTTTTTAAGATTATTTATTGTTCTATTTATTTGTAGATGTCAACTCCACACCCAATCAAGTCCAGGTTCACAGATCGTACAGCTCCGACCAAATTAAAGAAAACCTTGGGAAGATCATTCAGCATGCCAGAAAACTTGAACAAAATTCACAAACGGCGCCGACTCCATCCTTCAGGTGAGTGAATGAAGCTGTATAAAAGAATATCAACGTTATGATTTTATTGTGCAGACAACCGATATTATGATACAAACTCTTGGGATTCTCTTTACTATCTGGGTAATCATAGCTCTTCATAGCTTCCTGTCTTTCAGCATTACTTGTTTCTTTATGAGTAAGTTAACTTTCTCTTTCAATGTATCATGTTCCTTTAGAACATGGGTGATTACGCTTCTCCACAACTTCCTGTCTATTTTTTAACAATACTTTCTCCTTTATGATTCTTTTTGTCATTATGGTACTTGTCTCTCTATCCATTTGCTCAAAAGTAGTCAAGTAGTTTTCTCATTGCTTTTGACATGTTAAATTTTCTGAGTCTTCTTTCCTCATATGTCTCAAAAATAAAGATTGAGTTAAAATCTAGTTTCTAAAATGATATTGTTTAAGTAAGATTCAAGTGTTCAGCATGAATTGTTTTGTTTTGCTAATGTTGCAGGTTTTCTTTGTGAAATAAAGTTCTTTTTTGATGATTTTTCAGCAGTAAAACATGTCAAAGAATTTTACCAAATTGTTATATAAATAAATATTTAAAATACATATTTAAATATTTTTGTTCATTCTTCATATAGCCCTAATTTAATGTCATAAGGTTAATATCCGGGTTTAATTTTATAAGACCTCTTCCTTTTAAGACTAATGCCTTCCACCCTCCCCTGACCACAGTCTCATGCCTTTCATTTGACTGACATATTGAAATGGATGAATTCTGTATTAATTTTTCAACAGCTATCACAGTTAAATTTCTAATTCCGATGCAAACTCAGTCTATATACCATGGTTGAATAAGACTGACAAAGTTTTCATGGGGTGAAATTTTGGATTTTTTTACGTACTAATTTATTTGCTTTGTAATTATGTTGAGCTTTTTGTGGATTAGTTTTAAAATTTATGTTAATAGGATCCACTTGGATTATGTACCAACGGATTTATTACCTTCTCTCTCTCTCTCTCTCTCTAATTTATATATATATATATATATATATATATAAATATGATTTACTTTAGTCATTCTCATTTTAAAAAACCTTGTATTGACTCTTCCTTTTATAATATCTATTTTATATATATATATATATATATATATATATATATAATAAGTATATCTTCATTCAAGCATCTTTCATTGAATAATGTAGATATATTGTGTCTACTTATTTTTATACTGATCTTTTCCAGTTGTCTAATCAGTTTCTTGATGTTAAGATGAAATTCATCAAGGAAGGGAGCGTTGTTTTTTAATCCAAGTACTTTTGATCTTGCCCAAGATTACCTTCACGGGTAACAATATGTTTATATTATTTTATAATATATTATATATGGTTTTATAAAAATTTGATATAAAAGTTTTCTTATAATTTTAGGGAAAACATTTAGTTCAATGTAGTTCTAAAAGACAAAAGACGTTGCAGGAAAACTTTTTCCACTTTGTCATACTTCTTTCTCCTAATATATATATATATATATATATATATATATGTGTGTGTGTGTGTGTGTTTCTTTAACATATCATGTGATGTCTTACATAATATTTGGCTGCTTTTCACACCTGGTCAAGAAATTTTGCCAGATAACAAGAAAGATCACCCACATTTTATCCGTGACATGTTATTAAGATACTAATTGCAAAAAACAAAAAAAAAACAAACCAAAAGCAAGTTATTTTTTGTCAATATGAAGATAGGTCTGTTAATCAACTTTATCTGTTGGGGGTACCTAGAATACACTAACTGCATCTCCCTATAGAGGGGTATAACTCTGCCAAAAGACATCATCTCCAAAGACCTAAAAAAATTTTAAACAACAAATATTTACTTATTTCAGTACCAAGTAAATGCTAAAGACCCAAATATAAGCAAACAGTATTTGCTTATCCTCAGACCAAGTACCTATGTACCTCAGACCAAGTACCTATGCCAAAAAATGGCATTAACAATATTATTGTAAATAAAGCATTTCAATGGGCTTAAACTTTTTAGTAATCACTTATTTCATATATGGTTCATTATAATTTATGATATTTGATGGATTTTTAAAATGTACTATTAAAAATGTCAACATTGCTTATCTGTATTTGCTTCCAAATGCAGATGTGGTTACCACTTTCCAGGCAGAAAATGGCTTCATTTGAATAACTGAACAGTTTAATATTAAAGCTATTAGCAAAACAATGTTTATTTATAAAAGAACAGACTGAAAATGAACAGTTTTTTTTTTCTTTTTCAAATTTAGTTTTTAAAACTAACTATATGAATTATCACCATTAAGCAAGAACTATTAAGTTGGGTCAGTTATTAAGACCTATGTTGATATTCTAAAGCTGCATTTATTGGTTGTCTTAAAGTTTATTTAATGTTCGACACACCACTTTATAAATGTGTGTGTGTGTGTGTGTGTGTATTTAGGCAGCAAATTCTCTCTTAGTCGTGTCTGATTAAATAAATTACAAACATTATGTCTGCTTATTTTTTTAGCATAATCCATTCATATTCACTGTTACAGTGCATTTCTTGCATCATTTGATTGTAACACATAGAAAAATGTCTGAGAATATGAATGGATTATGCTAAAAATAAGCAGACAATGTTTGTAATTTATTTAATCAGACATGTCATATATATTGTAATTTTATCTCTTCCTCATCGCCAAAATGTAACCTAGGGAAGGTTACTGAATAGAATAATCAAACGAAGGTTAGTAATGAACGATAATAGTTAGGACAAGAACAACACATATAAGATTTGCCAGCAGCGTATAGAAGAAGTAGTCAACTGCTAGAAGTGAATCAAGTGAATTCTACAATGAATCTGCAATTACAAACCAACATACAGTATTTACTACTGTATTTATGTGAATGGGAACATACCCATTATTGTCTGTAGGTATGCTACAACATGTGCACATGCATATCTCTCCTGATGAATACGAGGAGTGATTTCTGGAATGTCCGTCTACAAAACTCTGGAGGTAACATCAATCAGCTAAGCGACAAACTTTATACTTGTGTTAATTTTATTATATATATATATATATATATATATATATATATATATATATATATATATATATATATATATGAGAGAGAGAGAGAGATACCTCCGAATAGAAGAAATATTTAAGGTTTAAAATGAATTCTTAAAAATGAAAATTCTTGGAACTTTTATTTTAGTTGTAATTTCAAGCTAACAGATTAAATTTAATGTTTACAATAAGTAATATACTTTGCCACATTTCAAACTGAATTTTAATTGATTGAAATGTTTTGTTTTTTGGGTTTTTTTTCTGTTATCACCAAAAAAAAAGCTAAAATCATCCATATTAGAAAAATATTTCAGAAATAAAATATACTTTTCTGAAACTTAATTTGAGGAAGATTATCTGATGCAAAGTTTAATTAATCTGATTTAAAACAAATACCATTTTTAGTTTAAAATATTGCAGAAAAGAATTTTTTAACACTGAGGTGGGTGTTTTTATAAGGAGATGACAATATAGGTTTTAATATCTTTTTAAAATGCTGTTTATATAGAATTTTATCTGCATTGTATATTTTTACATATTTATTCTGGCCTGAGCATAGTGACTTAACTTTCAAATCAGAATCTATTTTGAATAAGCTTTCTGTTTAAATTTTGTTGACCGAAAAGAAAACTATAAACACTTGAACCACTTTTTTGATTTTTGTTTTTAAAAACTTAGTAATTCTTTCTTTATTGAAAAAGAATCAGTTTGTCCATATTCCTTGAGAAATAGGTTGACTTGCTTTGGCTTCTAAAGATATCTCTTCTATGCTACAGATTTAACTTTGGCAAATCATGCTATGTGTTACTGCTAACCTTTGATCTTGTAGTTTGCCTCCTGTTGATGTTAACTCATGGGAAATTCTGAAGATAACCCTGGATGGATAAACAAACCATGGTTTTTTTTTTTCAAAAATGAAATCTTTATTTATTCAGATTATTATCATTATTTTATTTATTTATTTTTTTTTTTTTTTAATATTCATTGTAAAATGACTTTTTATAAATGTTTTTATTGGAAGGAAATTTCCCACAATTAACTGGACTTTTGTTGACATTCAGCAGCTGCTTGGATGGCAGAAAATCACGTGGCTTGTGCACAGTTTGGAAAGCAAA